GTGATCAATGTTATGAACGGGTCATAAACGTTCCGTATTGATATTTGCTTGCAGTAAAATGGGACTGGGTTGACATTTTTTTTGTCAACATTAAGTGGATTCCTTGTATGTCTGTTTGAGACACCGAGGGCCATAACAAAGTGAAGGTATTTGACTCATGAGGACAGACTGGTTTTACTGTGTAAGTAATTGAGTCTCTTGTCTCGGAAAGTGAAATTTAAAACTGTTGTTTGCATGGTTTCCATGTCATAATCATTTCAAAGCTTAAGTTTGTTCTCATAATGACTGATTTAAATGGTTGATTTGTTTTATTTGACAGTGTCTTAAGTCAGTCGGTTAAATCTTTTCCCTTTCTTGTTCATACTAGTGTCGGTGTCTGCAGAGCCTTTGCAGCCCCTATAGAATCCTCTGGGTCATATACAGCACACATTAACACTTACATACGAGTGCACGATAAACACCCTCTCAGGCTGATCTCCACACTGACAACCTTTCAGGATATTAGTATTCAGTTGGTGTTACTCTTGCATGAACCTGCATAAATATCTCCAAGTAAGATATTACAGCCTATTGATTAAGACTGACTAAATACAAAAGGATCAGTCTTTTGGTACAACGTATGAGTATGTGAGGGAAGGTGAACTTCTCTTCATATCTTGGTTATTCTTGTTATTCTTGTTGAGGGCGTTGTGCAAGGTGGGGTGCAGCTGTACTCTCTCATCTCACCCACATCTAAAAATTACAAATATTTCTTTTGCTGGTACGCCACATGTTGCTATTTCATAGTCATTGCACCTTTCTGATGGTCTATGGAATAATAAACAGAGGGACTTGAATATTAGTATTGAAAGCAGCTATGTTTGACTGCTGCTCCTTTTATGCCTTTATTATGTTAACATCAAAGGGAGTAAAACACATTTCTATAAGTCTGCATGTCTTGTTAGTCTTTTAACAGGGTCAGACTGTCATTGTGAGGATTTGTTATATAATGGATTCAAGTCACACTAGGTTGGTGATGTTTTGCAGAATCCTGGCAGCCTTTTTTGGCATCTGTTTGTTTCTCAGATTCAGGACATTTTCATGTCTGTCAATCTCTTTTTTTGTAAGCCTCCACTGATGCACCAGATGTTTGGACCACCTTATATATGTGGGTGTGTACTGTAATTTGCTTAAGGTAGAGTTTGGAACTTATACTTGTGATAGTTTTCTCATCTGTATTAGGTTTCTGGTTAAAATATAATACATCCATGATAATAATGAATTAACCCAACAATCTAAAACATAAGAACATAAGAACCCAAGCAGCACAAGAACCACCTAAACTGAGACAAAGAGGCCCAATATATCATGTGAGAAAGGTCAGAGAAAGAAACAACAAAAAGAGGCAGTAACTATAAAACTAGAATAATTAAAGGCTTAAATATATAAGTAACTAAAAGGGTCCCAGGTGATAAAAGCAGTAAAAGCAATAAAACAGTAGGAGGACAACATTGCATGAAAACAAGTCTATAAAAGTGGTTTTTATGAAGTGATTTAAAACATGCAACTGATATTGTGGATTTTCTGGTTGTTCCAAAGTCAAGGGGCCCTGATAAAAAAGGCACAGTCACCCTTGGTTTTGAGCCGTGAGTTGCAGTAGTCTGCAATAAACCCACAATGGATTAGTGGCCTATTGCATCAGCTTTGTATTAGCTCAGACTTAAATGGATATTTCGGCGTAAATTCAAGCCATGGTCAAACACACCTTAACATCGAGTTCGACCCAAGAGATGAATTTTGCCAACTGCTTGCTTCTCTAGTTACACCAACTCCAGCATAGACCGCACGATAGCAGTACACAACGGTGTACGTCTTCACACGCAAACCGCAACTAAAAAGCCACTCATAGCCACAAATAATGCCCAGAACAGCACCTAACTTCATCAACAGTACATACAGGATCCCACCACGTAGTACTAGCCATTTAATATCTGCTACTGGTTTCTTTAGCAAAGAGACTAAACACAACTCACCCACTCTCCTCTTGTTTGTGGGGGAGCCCTGAGAAGTAGATCACAGCATGCAGTGGAGTTCCACTGCTCAACAAAGAACATTTATGATTGTTACTTAATGGAAATGCAATCAGATCCAGAAGGCGAAAGAACTACCGCGTATGCTGAAATATCCCTTTAATTTAGGGTCCTAAGTCCCCATTAAATCTTATACTCACACTAGCAAGAGTGTAACTCAGGTTGTGTGGCTTCACCACAGAGATGTAAGATTAATCTTGACCATCCAATACGTCAACACTATCCAATCTCCAAAACAATACACCAGTACTTAATTGAGAACTTTACATCCACTCAGAGCTAGGTGTTCGATTAAAGTTGTGACATACGCCTACCTTGGACCTTTCTCAGCAACCCATCTGAGAAAGGTCCCTCATCAGCAGGGTACAAACTCCATCCTTATTTAGAAATTGTTTTCTGTTTTCCCACTCTCCTCTTGTAATTGAAATCTTTTGACCGTATCGTTGATGTTTTCACCCACCCATGAATTAGAGATCAGTAAAACAAAACTGCCCTGATGAAAGTTAAGTTTAGTTTAAAAATAGTTTATCTGAGCACTCAAAGACACTTCCCCATGTCTTGTTTGGAGCGTTCATAAACAAAAGTGACGTAGTGACAAGAATTACAGGGTAAAACACCAAAACAAAGTCAGAGTAACTCATTTATGCCTTTATTTCTTGAGGTAGACAATAACTATCCCTGCTCCAGTATTTCATTAAAGAATGCCAGACAGTTTTGGCTCTCAGAAAGCAATGGTTCCAGCAAGAACAAAGAAACATAAGCACATTACTCCAGTCCCTAAATCTTAACAACACTGACTATTGCTTGTTTAAAGATTGTAAAATACACTCAAAGTCATCCTCGATTACCTTGATTAAAAATACCAGCTGGTGGGACATCTTTAGAGAGCTGTTAGCAGGTAGAGCATGTCGTCAAACCAAACAGGGAGAAGCTGTCTGGAGAGAGCATGCTGCACTTAGATGATTATGACAGTCTATTTGAAAACAAATAGACTGTCACAACAAGAGTCATCAATAAATTCTGTTACAGGAGAAACTTTGTGTTCCCTTCCAATGAAATAAGGTTTGTATACAATGGTATCCATATCAGTATTGGCCTAAAAGAGTCTGAAAATTCTGACATATCAGATGTTGGCAAAAACCCAACATCTTACATTTCTACTTTTCTGTATGAGTTGGATATCTTTACACAAATTGGGTAAGGTAAAAATGTTGGAGGTTGGTGTGTGTTAGTGTATTTTGCTCCATTGATTTTGTTCTATGGAGGGATTATTTGTTTATCAACATGACAGATGCACTTGCAATGTGACTGCAGTTGTTATGGTTATCCTCAGTTAGTTGCTAACAATGTTAGCTAATGATGTTGGCAGCCTACGACAACAGTTTTGAATTAACATTAGAGAATGGGATACTTCTAAATGACCCATACACATTAGATGCTGGTGAGCAGATAAATGATGAAAAAAATTGGCACCGACTCCAGTGGTGTGGATATCCATTATTACCTGACTGAGACACGAACTCTCTATTTCCGTGAGATCCTGAAATTCTACTAGACACTGGATGCCTTCAGCTAAGAAACAGACAATCATGTTTAGGACATACTATTACACGATTACAACGTTGAAAACGGTGTGGCTCTGAGGACTGAGGTGCTGCTTAGTCAAAGACTAGGAAGAGCAAGGAGGTGTATAAAGTCTGGGTTATTGTGAATGAGAAAAATAACTGCATCCTGATGGCAAACTGCACCTGCACGGCTGGGTGTGAAATAATAATAACATGAATAATAACAAAATGAATCCGCAAAGACGGCAATACAAATTGGAGCAGTAAATATTATCTTTTTGTGTGGTTTGTTGTTGCCTGATCCACCAGCGTGACAGCTTGCAACCAATGACGTCTCTTGTTTGCCTTGAAGGGGTGCAAGTTGATGGTATTCTGTAAAACTTGCGTGTTTTCTTGTCCTTATCGAAATGGTTTGTGCAACCAACAGCACAAGACATGATTGCAGCTCTTGCTCTCTTTCTGAAGGCAACATACACAGTAGGGGGGGAGTGACGTGTGATGTGCACCGGGATTCCCTTTATAGATATCATTTTCTCATCCTCTGTGTGGGTGGCATTCAAATTTAGCACATATATACACAGTCCATGAGGGATGGACTGATAAGGTTTTGGTGGTTAATGGTTCTGGTCATTTGAGTCTCTCTCAAAGTGCTCTGGGTCATGACTCAGAAATTTTTACGCCGAATGACCGACAATATCATTAAAATATCAAACGGAGTAAAATAAATCAGAGACATTTATTACTAAAGATGTCAAAGGTCAGCGGCACTGTTAGGTTAAAGTGACCTGGCCATAACTCCTTTCCTTTCATGTTGACACAACATCTCATAAAAAGAACTTTGAACCACTGCAGAGTGAAATGTGCTTTATAAATAAAGCTGCTGCCTTGCCTTACTCATGTGGTGTGACCAGTGGAGGCTTCACAGCCACCAGAGACTATCGGAGCCAAGCCTCTCAGATAAGGGTAGTTTTCTAAACATCATATTGGCGCCTCTGGTGTATGCACTGGATCACAGAGTGTTGTTAAAGCAGAGCATTAATTAATTCACTCTGCAGCCTGATACCATTGAGTGTACACACATACAGGCTTCTTCTGACACACGAGAATGTTGTTAGGAATGTTTTCAGTCAGTAAGCTGAGCCATGTTGTCATTTCTTTGACATGTAATGCATCAACTTTGACCTTGCTCTGATTTGTAGCCTCTGGCACAGAGAGGGTGGGAGAAACCGGGGAGAGGGGGAGAGAAACGCTGGGTGTGTATCGGGGTGGTTGATCTTGTGGTGATTACAGCGGCGTAGAGACAGACAGAGTGAGGGAGGGCACCTTGTGTTCATCAGAGTTTTATCGTTGTCTAAGTTTAGATCTTGGCTCACAGACGGCTTCTCAAGTAACAAGGCTGCAGGCTCACTTCAGCGACTCCACACTGAGACAGAAAGAGAGCTCCACACAGAGCTTTAAAGGGAGATGAAAAAAGGAGCAAGAAAGAGGCAAGTCACACAAACTTAAGAGGAGAGGAAGGAGATACTGACATCTAATGAGGCATTTCAAACAGGAGACACAGATGTAGAGAGAGGAGGAGCGCAAAGCGGACTACTCTCTTTGGAAACAGTTCTTCACTGCATCACTTTGTCTCTGCTGTTTTACCTGCTGGGACCGGACAATGACAGAGGAGGCTGAGGTGGGAGCGGAGCCCTCTCCAACCTCTGAGACTGAGCAACAGGCTCCTCATTTCCTACAAGATGTCATCTTCCATGGCAAGTTTAAGGTGAGTTCCACCATGAGGGACAGCAGGTAGCCAGAGCCAGTGACTTTAAACTGTTCAGGTAGAGACGTACAGACATTTGATTGTCTATAGATACTTGTGACAGGCATGGCAAGACATATGTGGTGATTTTAAGCGCAAATGTTTTGAGTAAGATTTGCAATATCCAACAAATGCTTTTTTCTTTAGTTGACATCCTTTCCATGTTTGTAAAAGTACAAGGACTCAACTCTTGTCTCAGTAGACTCGTAATGTTTGGCCTGAAATAACTGGAACTGACAGAAATTCCATCTGAATTTTGTGAAGATGCCAAAGTTTCCAAATATACCACTTGTGTCAAGCTGAAGAAATATGTCTGGAAAAAAAAGAGGTTTAATAGATCTCCTCATTTAATGGCTTGTTGCGGCTCCGAAAAAGCAAAAGATAATGTATCATGCTTTAAAAAGTTAAATAGACACAAGTCGGACATTATTTTGAAGAGAGTAGTTATGGTAAAATACCACAATGATGAAACAACAGCTGATACTCACTTAAAGACAAACTGGTTACAGTATCTTCAGCTAAACCCCTAAAAATTCACTGTAATGGTCACTGTATGGTTAAGTTATGCTTTTACTGGCAGCGTTGCATATTGGGATGTCATTTTTCGAGCATCTTTAAAGTCTTCACATCTCTGACGACAGTACAGCCTAAATGAAAATGTTGATATCTCATAAAACCACAGGGAGTTATTGAAAATCACACAAAAAATAGGACAATGTTGGGAAATGTCATTATCAGAGCTGAGTTATTTTTCCCCTCTGATAGAAATACAGTGATTGTTATTTTGATTATTGATGTAATTCATAATAGCCATAAAGTTGATACTGTAATGCGAGTTCTCCTCAGCTAGCAGGAGTATGCAAAAATAATACACAGCCCGGCATGACCCTGCTGCCAAACTTATTTCCCACGCAGTTTTACACTAATTGCATGAAATGACGACATACAGTAAAAGATAGCCTTACGAGGAGACAGACTGCAGCCTTACCTTCCTGTTACTAAAAAACTTTTTTTTTATTCAGAAAGTTAGACACAATCCTAAAAAAACATCCTCTTTTTCCAGCTAACAGGACAGTTATAATCAGTTTGCACAAGGTAAGCACAAGAAAAGCTTTTCTACTCACAATCCATCAGAGTTAAGGTGAATAAATAGTATAATTGATCCCTTTGAGCACTGTTGATGATCCATGGCTGTACTGTGCTCCCCTGCTGCTATCTCAATCCATGGCCGAGCCTAAACAAAGTTCATTTCCTTTATTAATAGCTTATGCTGTACTTCAAACCAGATTCTCCTCTGGTGGTCTGTAAAGCTGAGAGCTAATGAAACAAGAGCTAAATCAGGACAGGAAGGAAGAAAGGGATCTAGTGCTTCTTTTATGAGATATCCACACTGATTTAAATTTAATTCAAAAGCATCAAAAAACTTTGAAATGTTTAATGAAGAATAAATGTATCCTTAAAGCTTCTGGGGACCCAAATCTACAAAACTTTTCAAAATATAATATTTGTGATCACAGCATCTACTGATAACTATCTAAAAATATAAGGAATTAAATCTAATCCATTTCTGAAATATAATCAGTTAAACTTGTGAAAATGTTCTAATATTGTGTGTTTGTGAGCTGATTATACTTGGGCATTTATTTTAAAACAAACATTTGACCTATCAACTGTGGTGGACTTGGTGAGACAGGTTTTTGGTGGGCTATGGCAGTCATGCAACAGCTGTCTCTTGTACACCAGACTAATGTTTGCCAGGAGCAGTCCACCCACCTTACTCAGAAAGCTCAGGGCTTAGTATATTAGACTTTGACTGAGATGTTGAATAATATCAATGTATCGTAGGACAGCCAGGTAACAAACAAAATCTTGCTATTGTACAAAATACACACAAACAAAAAATTTAGAGTTGCAAAGTTGGCAACATTTTCATCATTTAACGTACAGCCCATTAGCCTCTTGCTAACATGTTTGTCAATTGCTTTAGTATGTGACATAATAAGTCAATTGGAAGATGGTCCTGTAGTTACATGCTGATCATAGTAGAGGTGGACAGACGATTGACAAGTAACAATTCTAGACCACCTAACTGAGCTGTATCTGTAGTTTGACTTGACTCTTTACTGTGAATACAAAGGTACTGAGTAAATACGTTGTACTTTGCCACCCAGGGACCGTTTGAAAAGAATGATTTTCAGATGCTGGAGTTTCATTGTCCTCTGATCTGGAGTTGGAAACCTTAAACACACAGGGCTGGACTACACCCTCTCTGAGTTGTGTCATGTTGTGTTGAGAATGTTCTCATGGTTTGGTTTGATTATCATTTGTCAATCAAACTTAAGCTGCCAGGAAAATAGGCGAAAGGTTTTCTATCAGTGATAGATTGTTATTTTATCTCAAATTTTCAGTGATGCTAAGTGACACTTTTAAGTTTGATATTTTTCATATTTCAAGTCATGTTCTCAGAGGCTTCAAGTCAGAGACACTGTTAAACTAGGGCACAACCTCTGTGCATGAACCAAATACCACTTGTAAATCAGATCCAACTATCAGGGTTTAAATTGGGATTTGTAATGTGGGAGGGGTTTTGGCTTACAGGGTTGCACATGTATGAGTGCAAGAGACCGTCCTGGTCAGTGAGTGTGTTGGTGGGCAGGCAGCAAGATTCTTAATGTGAATGGAAACACCAAGGCTTTGTGACAAATGACATACATATTATCGTGAAAAAGACAACAAACTTCCACGAAGAACAAATCAAATGAAAAATATTCATCACCTAATATAATGAAAGTAATCAAAGACAGTGTTATCAGCCCATAATTACGACTGATCACAATAAAACTCAATGTCAGCTGGCAGTGGCTGGTGATTTTTGTTGGCTCACTTTGTCACTTTGAGCCAAGAACTTGAAAAGTATAGAAGAGATTTGAAAAAAACCTCTAAGTCATGCAAGCTTTGGCTATTTGAAAGTTCAACCAGAGCTAGAGTGGCGAATTATAGAGCAGTAAGATACCAAAATCAGTGGCAACCTGGGCAAATATGTCTATAATTGTATTTTAGAAACACAAAACAGAGTGGCTTACTATGGCTGAGAAGATTAAGGAAACTACACACTCACCAGCCACTTTATTAGATGCACCTGTTTAATTGCTCGTTAACACAAATCAGCCAATCACATGGCAGCAACTCAATGCATTAAGGCATGTAGACGAGGCCAAGACCACTTGCTTAAGTTCAATTTGATTATCAGAATGGAGAAGAAAGGGGATTTAAGTGACCTTGACCATGATATGGTTGTTGGTGCCAGATTGGCTAGTCTGAATATTTCAGAAACTGCTGATCTACTGGGACTTTCACTCACAACCATCTCTAGGATTTACAGGGAATAGTCCAAAAAAGAGAAAATATCCCGTCTGCAGCAATTGTCAGGACAAAAATGTCTTGCTGATGTTAGAGGTCAGAGGTGAATGGGCAGACTGGTTTAAGATGATAGAAAGAAAACAGTAAGTCAAATAACCACTCATCAAAGCCAAGGTATGCTGAACACCATCTCTAACCGCACAACATGCCAAACCTTGAATCAGATGGTCTACAGGCGCAGAAAACCAGGTGCCACTCCTCTCAGCTAAGAAACTAAAACTGAGGCTACAATTCACACAGTCTCACCATAAATTGGACAATGGGAGATTGGGGAGACGTTGCCTGGTCTGATGAGTCTCAATTTACCCAATAAAGTGACAGATGAGTGCATGTTCAGATTTTGAGAACAATACATGATAAAATATGTTAATGTTTTTATTCATTAATATGTCCTTTACGTCCTTTTGTAGTTTACATATAAAACATAATTTATGCCTTTGTTTTTGGGAGCTATTAAAAAACAGGAAGTACCTTTTTAGAGTTTTGTGTGAATTTTTCTGACAGACAGAGTTTTGATTGTTGATGTAGGATAAATTTTACCAACTGGCAGGCAATCAAAGAAGAGTTCAGCCTTTGCTCTGAGTCCTGGCTGAATTTAACCTCCTCCATACCTGGCTACGATATCTGATATTAGCAGTGGAATCTCCTCCTGTAGTAGGTGTATCTCATTAATGTTTCCATGATCAGTGTCATCTTCTTGTGATCTTACTGTGCCTGACAGCTGGCAGATGTTATGAAGCAGCTGAAATAAACACTGCTATTTCCACTGGCAAACATGTGACATTCACGTGGAGAGGTTTCTGCAGTAAACATGGTACTTGTAAACTAATGCCCACCTTCTTGTCCATGGTATCTGCTCAGAAACAAAACAAAATGATACTTGAGGAAATTCAGGTTTTCTTTTGAACCTTACTTATGCACATTCATGGTGCTAGATTCATCTATCCCAACTTTGACTATATGTAGGACAGCAACCATTTTATGAAGAGAGGATGTTCCTGATTATTGTTTGTACTTTTGTTCACCATGTTCACCTAAGTTTGGATTAATTATACTCATGTTCCCTTTTCATTATATCAGTCTGGGACAACTTTCAGGTAGATTTGCAGGATTTAAGACTCAAACAAAACTTCTTGTTTATCTTAAACTGGCATCCCTGAAAACCCCTTATTCCAGCACTACTCAGCCTCTGCCTGAACCCGTTTCTTTTTGCAGTTATAGACACAGCTTGTGGGTGTCGCTTTTTACACAGCTCTTGTAAGCTTTGAAACAACTCAAAAGTTATGCCTTGGCGAAAACATCTGAGACTGGCCATTAGTGCCCACACTGACACCCCTTTAAACATTAGCTTTTGTTACATTACTTTCTGTTTAATGTGACTAAGCAACTTGTGATGGTAGGCCTCCAAAGATGGAACAAGCCCAGGTTTCACTAACAGCTGAGGCCTAAATCCTTCTTGTACTGGATTTTGTTTACAATGGAGTCATCAGTGAAATGGCAAGTACGTACAACTGCACAAAACGTTCCCTCTGCTGCCTTTGTCTTTGAGGGAAGCAAATGACTGTAACTTACCTTTATAACCAAAAAACTCTTCCAAGCAACTTTCTTAGACATATGAAATATTAAAATAAACAAAACAGAAAAATGGAGCGCTGCAATAGACTTTCCCTGTAAGGAGCAATTGGGGAAAAAAATGAACATATGTACATTTCCTTGAAAGAGCAACCAGGTGGGCATATCCTTGAACATTATCCTAATATGATGGCAGGGCTTAATGCCAGTTTCAGGCCAAGTCTCACAAAGTTATTGAAATGAGCTACTTAGGGAAGCCAGAGACAGGTCCAGGGATCGCCCCAACATCCATGAATCTCCTTCAGTGAAACTTTGGCGGGGTTTAGTATGGACATCCAACACTGTAAAACCACACGCATGTAGCAAAATATGGATCAGCATATTAGGTCTCCTATTATCATCATAGGATGACAGTTTGTTGGATCTGTGATTGACAGAGTCCGCCTCCTTTGGTCCCAGGTGCATTTTGTTTTAGCATTTTTGTTTTAGCATCTCTCTCACTCTCTGACTTTCAGTATGGACTATTGCCATGGCCACTTGTTGTTGAAGTTACTTCATACTGATTATCAACTCAAAGATTCTCTCACCAGCTCTGCTAACATTTGTCAGGACCACAGACAGCTTACTCTACTTTTCCCTACCAGGGATGGTTGGGCCCCACTGTCAGACTCCTACAATCTGAGTCTGTTGAGGCCAAAACAGGCTCTTAGTGGTGTACTTTTATTAGACACATCTTTTGTGCCAAATAGCAGCCCCCTTTACATTGTGCATTTGAGACAAGGGTGTTAAGCCTCTGTTACTGCTCATGTTAATGTCACGGAGATGTATTAGTGGGACACAGTCACTGCAGTATCAGGGGCATAACAGAGGTGAAATATCTCTGTAAAGACCAGAGTCAACAGGACTTAACAGCATTCTTTATTCACAAATTGAGCCTCACAGGCTTCCATGAGGCTGTAGTGGTGTGTAAATTCACATAATGGGTCACAAAGGCTCAATATAAAAGTATAAAAGAGCTTTGTTTTTGTGGTGCTGCAGTTTGATCTTCATTCTTAAATGCTTATCATAACCTATAGTAAATGTATATACTATTACATGTCTGGTTGAAGCAATAGTCAAGCAATTGTGTGTACTAATTATTAACCACCCTGGATAACTACACTGATCTTTAAGTGTAAAATAGGTGGAGTTCCCCTTTAAAGATTGGTGTGTACTCTCTGTGTAGTCTAATCTGAAGACACCTCCTGTCTCATCTGCAGCCAGACTTTATGAATAGACTTGGTGAGGAGAAATACTGTAATAAGCTGAGGTCATGGCAGAGCTCATAATTCACACACTATTTATATCTAATACAGAAATTACTCAGAAGCACTACGTGTACTATGTCGCCAAACTGCCCCCACACAACTGAAAAACATTCATTCAACATGTATCATCCAAATTACTGGAAGTCCAGATGTAATAGTACGCTGAATGGGATTGCAAAACACCACATACTGTGCACATGCCAGTTTTTTTAAAGGTGCAGCCTCCAGGTTCAGAGCAGCTATATTCATCACCCCCTGCTTTGAATAATTAACAAATAGGAAGATGTAATTTTGCAGGTGCAGACAACTCGCTATTATTCTCACCCCATATTTTAACACCTTTACTCGGTAGCAATGCAGGGAGAACTGTAACCTTTATAAAAAAAGATCAGAAAAGTAATACTCCATCAAAATATGTGAACTTAACAACACAGTGAACATTTAAAATTATAATAATAAAGTGCTAAATAAGTTCTTTCTATTTAAACAGACTTTGTAGTCAGGATTGGATCATTTAATATGCACAAAAACTCACATGCACAGGTTGAATAATTTGAATTTGTTCGCATTATTTGCATGGGGGGCAAAAGTTTGGCTGTCATTGATCTGTTTTGTTGTGATCCACAAAGGATTTTGTTTTTACTCCAGCTTGTTTCTGCCGCCCCCAAGTGGGAAAAAGTCATTTATTGCAGGTTTTATTGGAGTTTAAATTCATTGACCATAAATATTTGTCTCATACTAGAGCTATTAAGGTGTGACAGTATTTATTATTCCATCAACGCTTTACCCAAGAAGTAAGACACAAAATATTTCACTGACTGCCCCACAGTCTTTGTTCTTTAAGTGTCACCAATTGACTCATGTTTTATTCAGCTAATCACTAAATGATAATGAGATAAATGCACACCAAGACAAAAGACCTAATACCATGGGCCATTTCAATTAAGTTGTATCCAGGACACTGACAGTATCTTGTTTTGGGAAAAGCACATGAATTAAAATGTGAGTCTGACCTGCCTGTGTCCTCTAAAAACAGTTATTTTATCCCTTTAAAGACATTTCAATAAAATGTGTTTCAGTTTGAATGAAATCAATCAAATCACAAACTCATCAAAAATAAACACAGCTGTGTCTGTATTCTGTATTTTGATTAAGTTAAACAGAATCTGCTTTAAAGGCCAAGTATGTGTACACATATAAAGGCAGAGACTTCAGTGAAACATCATCTTTTTATTGATTTATTTGTTGTGTGAAACATATCTAAATATCAAACCCGAGTGAGTTTTTTGAATTTCAATAAAAACAGATTATGATGGTTTTCAAGCCATTTAAACCATTAAAAAAACAGCTTATGAAAAATATCTCCTCATTTTACATTTCAAAACAGCTGAGTCATGGGCATATTCAGTCTGATGTTTTGTATCATCTCCTCAATCTAACAACCTTCTGTTAACACTGAGGAATGAAGGATTTGACTTTTCATGATGTGCCAAATATTTATTATAGGTGATGAGTCAGGATTGAGGACAGGCCAGTTAAACTCTCAGACTCTTCCTCTCTTCTACCGATTCATGCTGTTGTAATACATGTTCTACATTGACTTGCTGGAATATGAACACCTTTCCTTGAAAAGGAAATAAGATGTATGGCAGCATGTGATGTTCCAAACTTTCCCCAAACTAGAGCCTTCACGGATATGTAAGCTACCAATATCACAGGATCACTGTATTACCACACATGGCTTTAAGCCAATGTTTTTACCAGAGCAAAAATACAGAGGAAGAAGTATTAGGTTTGCAGTTTGAAATATTGTAAAGTACTTGTGGTAAATTATGTTAACTGCTATCCGGAACATTTAAATGCTTAAGAATCAAATCACTGAGCATTTTACTGTTGTCGGGGCTTACGCAGGAGTTAGTCTGTGACATGTAATTTTAAAGTGCTCCGAGTCGTCAAAGACCTAAGAAAGTGTTATACAACATGGACCACGTTAAATTCCCTTTAAATTACTCTTGAGCAAAGCACACATGCACTTAGTTAGCCTTCACCATAGAATTTAGAGTCCATAGTTTTATCTTAATCGTCTTTTGTACAGCTTTAGTGGTTTGGTTATTGTTTGGCCTTTCTGATGCTGGCTTATATTATTGCACCGTCTTTGTTTTTACTAAAGAGTGCAGGAATTGTACCTTGCTGGATAGTTAAACAATATTAAAATCCATCTGTGCTAAAAGCTAAGTAATTGCACCAGTTTAAATGTACTACTTTACTGAATATAGATTGGATTTGATCTACAAAGTCAAAATGAGAGAGAAGAGGGGGAGACGTTTAGGTTTTTCCACTGCTGTTTATAGAGTGCATTGGAAATGGCCTTGAGATTTTTTTCATGTGGTTGTCATGCAGGTCTTAAACTGCACAGTTTTACATGTATGAGCTGGTGTATTAAGGTCAACAGGAGTATCAAGAAGAGATAAAAGTGAAAGGAGACCACACTCAAAGATGACCCCTGTCTTACTGTCCCATGTCTGACTGCATTACTTATTTACAGCAAACTATCATAGATCAAAAGGTCTGTTAGTGTTCTGTATGAATGTAAAGAACTTTAAAAATGTGGATCAAATAACCACTAAAGTCACTCACATCCAAGCTCCGACATAGAGCTTCACTTTTTTCAGTCATGTGGAAATAGAAAACATTTGTTTACATTCAGTCTGGTTTAAAAACTAACATCCTTTATACCACTCAGTTTGTGATAAACTGAGGTAGTCCCACAGGGATGTCTGCAAAAATGCAAACACATGCAACATGCGTTATTCATCGTTGAAAAGTCAGCATCAAAGTACTTCTGTATTGGCAGGGAGACACAACAAAGCTCTCACTCACTAAAAGGTTATGTGCCCGTTTTACCCTGAGGAGTGTACAGGACAACGTCTTTGTAAATATGTGCTTTTATATGTGTGTTAGTTTTTTTTTTTGGATGATGAGAAAATGATTAAGTATGACTGTAATCCTAAAACTTGGCAGGTTTTCAGATGAATGTACAGTACTGTCAGAGGGGAGAATGGTTCCAGCTACTTGCAATAAACTGATCCAATATTGTTAACAGACACAAACACACCTTTTAATACCACCCCTCTCTCTGTCTTTCCCCATCTACACACCTCCAGTTGCTAAAGGCTCTTACCCCAGAGCAGAACACCCACAGCCGGCATGGTCTCTTCTTCCAGGATGGTCAGCGGCGCGTCGACTATGTCCTTACCTACCCTGTGAAAAAACCAGCAGGGGGGCGCTCCATCCGGACGTCAGCCCACATCCTAACTGAAAATGCTGTGGCACGCAGCCTGCGCCGTGTCCCCAAAAAAAGCGAACGTCTCAAACGTCTTCAGACACAAAAGCCAAAGGACTCACCTACAGCGGATGTGGAGCTGGGCCTTCATGGAGAGACCCTCAACAGCCATGAGGACCACAAGATGTTCAAGAGGGAGGAGTTTGAGGGGAAACTGAGGGAAATGGGGCTGGAGCTGGAGAAAGATGAGGATGTGAGTTATTATTTTATCATTTGCATGGTGTCTCTGAGTTGGACAGAAAAATCATTCTGGGGTCCAATGGCTGAGTTCATCCATTTAATATCTCATTTGGGGTCATGAGGCTACACAAGCTCAGTTTGTTTAGTCGTGTAAAGGTGTGTGTCTGTTTTTGAATGTATTTAGTAAAGTGCAGATGAGCTGATGGAGGGTTCAGTGATGTCTAAGGCTGCAGTTATTGGCCCATGCAGGGCTGAGGTGAAGCAGGCACATGAGGAAAAAGCAGAGATGGAGCTCTTTTGAAGGCAGGCCTTCATCAGCCTTACACTAAGAGAAGTGTTTTGATGTATGGAAACAGGGGGAAATTACTTGCATTTCTGAATGCCACAATAACAATATTATCACAGTATTTTTGGAGAACTGGAGAATGATAAAACATGAGTTAAATTAATGGAGGGCAAAACAAGGGGGGAGCGACATATTACTCAACTTCACCAACGTACAATCAACTTCCATGCCATCACCCATTTCTTGTGATTTTCATATTTGTGACTCTAGCACTGAGGATGACACTTGTTTGGAAGAGATATTACCTCTTACTACGAGTATAAACTTAAGGTATTTCCATATATTTATTTTTGGATTATAATACTTTTCTGTAAAATTTTCAAAAACTAACAAGTTAAATGTGTTAGTCACCAGTGCTTTGTATGTTGCCTCCATATCTTCTATTCATTTGTATCTGACAAGCTGCAGGCCTGCAGGGATATCAAACCCCCAGACTCAACCCCACATAGATACGACTACATGAAACTGATCCTGCTTCTTAATACATTTTTATACAGCTTCCTGTCTGACCTGCACAGCTGACAGTGTGCATTTCACTTCAACGTGAAACGCAAGGCTATTACTGACACACCCTAGTCTTAGTAATCTTCTACCTTTGAGTTTCTTAGTGGTCACAAGATACAGAAGTATTTTAGTTCAAACAGATGAGTACGACCAAGTGCAAGTGCAGCAGCCCAGACTTGAGCAAGAAAAGTTGGTAAGACTGAGTGTTCACAGATGTGATCAATATTAAGGCTACATCCAGAGGTGAAGGGGCTTTTGTGGGTGGTCCTCTGAAGAGGGAAGTCCTGTGGGCTTTCTGCAGACTTTTTGCAGACTCATATGGATATAAACTGTGTGAATAGAAGCTCAGTCTGACCCCAACTTTGAAACACATAACTGATTTGCTGGCCAGGCTGAATTTCAGTTGGATCGCGCGTTGTTTGCTGTGCTGTCCAGAGGAGCCACTGGGATCACATCCTGTGCAGCTGCTCCACTCTCGGCAGATGAATTTATGGCATGTTAGAAATTTTGGTTGACTGACAGAGCACTGTCACACAGTGAAAGCAAAGCCTCAAGCCAATTCTACAATCTTCCTGGTTGAAGCTGGACAAAACAGTGGACAGAGCCCAAATGCACCACAACGATATGCCACATTGTGTAAATATGGGGTCACGTGCACACACACACACACACACACACACACACACACACACACACACACACACACACACACACACACACACAGAGAGCATAACAAAACTAGAGGCAGATGGTTTTTCTGTTGTTGGGGGCAAAAATAAAAAGGAAAATAACTAAATATCTATGCAACAACATACAATAACAATAACAACAACTTTGGTTTAATGCAACAAGACAAAAGGACTGAGGGGATGTTCATAAAAAAAAGATGCTCAGCTGTGTAGCACAAACTTTTGTACTTTGTAAAGACACACAACAGAATGCTGAAATTCCTGTGAAAGTCTTGTCACTAATTGTTCTATTTGCTTTTGTATTTCATAAAAAAGCCTCAATATGAATTTTAGTTTATTTCATTAGTATTTAAAAAAAAATCCTTACAGGAGCTTTAAGACCATTGATGGCCACAAGTAAAGAAACTAAAATAGACTCACATACATTTGAGTTCATAGAAAGCCTGCCGCCAGACTGTTGCAATGCAGTCCATAAAGTTTATTTTAAAATAAGTCCAACCTTTAGAGAAGCTAACAGCCAATCATAGCTTAGGACCTTCGGGTTGCACCTGGCATGGCCAATCAGTCTTAAGTATTGATAACCTCAGTGCTGCTTTGCATGATGAGTGAGTGTTAAGTGTACCAAATTTATAAAACAAACACAATGACCAAAATAATAAAATGAAAGAAAAACAAACAACCAAATTACCCTAATTTTAAAACATAACCTCAACATTTGGTAGCTTGATGTTTTAACACAAAGTAAAACTTCTTCCTTTAGTGGGCTTGCTTTGTTTACGTCTATGGTTACCCAATTAGCTGTGATTTATGAGCACAACACTAAGAAGAGTCTGCAAACTTCTGGAGAGGTATTAAAAAATCTGTGACGGGGCCTCATGCACATGACCACTTGGAAAGGGAAGTGCACTGAACATTAAATGGTCAGAGCAGGAAGTCTAAAATTTGGTCCAAAAATTTAACTTCATTCTGTAACTTTTTATTTTGTTGTCGAAAAACTGGAAGGTGTGACAAAACTAAACTATTTAACAGCCGACCCTCAATCTTTGGTTTGACTTGTTGAAACAAGGGAAATGTGTCACTTCAACACTCTAGATTGGATCAGATTCACTCCCTTTAGGTGACAGGTTATCATAGTTTCATGCAGCTTTAGAAAAAAATGTCCAGCTGTTGGCGGCCATCATGCAGACATGTTTGAGTTGAATATATATCACTAGGGTTGCTTTTTTAAGTATATAGAATTCAAACATGTCCTTAGTTTGTCTATATTTAACAACCTGAAGTCTGGAGACATCCGCTTGTGAATGTCTTTGACAATTTAGGGTGCAGCAAGTTTCTAGTAAAAGTATTTGCAGGGTTTGCAGCTAAGACATATCTGTGGATCAACCGTGTAAAGCTGTAAACTGATATTCTGCCTATGTATAAGATGTCCTGATGCCAGCATATAAATAGAAAATTAGGCTCCCTGCAGCAGTGACTTGAAGAAGCTGATCTGAGGTTGCCAGGGCCACATAGGAGATTTCTGTTATCCTTTGACTGGGTGGAAGGGCAAACACAACTGCATGTGTGTCGCCGACTTATTTGTGCAGTGATTTAATGATCACTGAGAGAGGCTCTCACATTTAACTAAGCCAGGTGCAATGTTGTACAGCAGCTGGGGTCAAATTTCAGCGATGACAAATCACATCATCTTTTCTAACACCTGGCATAAAACCAGCAGACACGTTTCATTTATCAGAGGAGATGATTTTCCTGAAAAGAAGTGGAAACCAAGTTGTCGAGTACATCTAGATTTGGCTAGTCTTCAAAGTAAGTGACAGCACGCGTTTAGTTATACCAGGAGCAGCCCAGTACAGCAAAGATTGTCTGTTTTTGGCATATTGTGCTCCTGTGATGCACCTCTAAAGACATCAAAACACATTTGTGTTTATTACGACCGACTTGTATTTATTGTTTTCTCGCAGACCAAAATTTCAGGAGTTGCCTTTGTGAAGATTCATGCCCCCTGGAACGTCCTCTGTCGAGAGGCGGAGTTAATGAAGCTAAAAATGCCCACCAAGAAGGTAAGACTGAATGTCTGTTCTTATGATGCCTTTGTGTGAGTTTTCATTATTTCTCTATGAGTTTGGAGAAAAAATGAAGAAGCCTTTTTATTCTTTTATGGACAACCCAATTCCCAAAAGCTCCAATGCTGTGTTAAATGATGGAAACAACAAACTCAAAGTGTAGACCATGAATTTATTTTAAAAATTAGTGTTAAGTGGATAATCTGAATCCACTGTTTATATGGGTGCAAAATCAAATAATCTGATCAGATTAGAAGCATTTGGACATGTGCAGAGTTGTCTGATTTCGCAAGAGAAGAAGTAGTTTAGGCCTGTGCTGTCAACAAACCAACAAACGCCGTAGTGGCTCAAGCCATCCAATTCCAATTCAGGAGCCCCCCCCCCCCCCCATTAAATATTGTCACTAAATGGCGCCCTTGCGTACTTATTTTACTGTTCTGTCAAAAGTTGCACTGTGCGTGCAGATGTGATATCATTACGCTGTATGTGCACCTTGTTATGTTACCGGAGGAGCAGACATAGCTCCTACGATTGTGTTTTATGCCAGAGTGTTAATAATGAAACCTCCTGTACTGACCTCAGTAAATAAGCCAAAAGCTAAGAAGAGAAGATCAAGTCAGGTAAGAGAGTCTGGATCGGAATAAGTGTTTACATGGACGTGTTTCGGAAAAACGATCGCTATAAATCTCCCCTCTTGATCAGGATACAATTTCTTTCCGAATGAGCCAAATTGGATCAGATTCTTCCGATTGACATGTTTACACTATGCATTTTTTTTCAGATCGGGCATTTAATCCAATTATTTGTGTCCATGTAAACGCAGATTGTTCCACTCTTGCCCAGAATAAGATTTTGGCTGCTCAACAATGCAAGGTCTCGTTTCTTGTATTTGTCCTTAAACTTTTTGCCTGAAGTTTTTCAGTGGGAGACTAGTTGGGACTGCAGGTGACAAGTTAAAATTCTCCTTCTACAGTGTAATTCTATAAATATGTGTGCAGATTGTAGTTTTGCACCGTCTTCCTGAAACTTTGTACATTGAGAAGACATGAAGTCAAGCCACAATAAACACGAAAATAAAATGTATGTTGGTTTGTGAGGCTGGTTTATCTTAGAGAAATCCCCTTAAACTTATTGACTGATTTTTATGATTTTGTTTTGAATTCAAAAAAACCTTGTCTGAAATGTGTTAGGGGTGTTTGATCTGTTTAAATTTGTAGGTGTATGAGATGAAGAAGTCTGGAGGTGTGATGGGGAAGATCAAGTCTCTGGTCAGTAAAGTCCTGGATCCTCTCCACCCTCAGGTTGAAGAACATCAACATAAAAACTTCAAACGCCTGTCGCACGCTTTCTCCAGAGAAAAACAGCACCTGTGAGTAAACCGTCAATACTCTGATGGGAAATTCCCCATTGTATTGGCTAGGGCTGCAACTAACGATGATTTTGATAATCGATTAATCTGTCGACTATTTTAATAACTAATCGATTAATCGGATAAACAGGCTAAATTCATCAATGCAGCTGTTAATAGCAATAGCATAGGGCTTTAGTTTATCATATGAGTTTATATGCCATGAGGTGTTGAGGTCTCTGCATGTGTAGGTTACTGACTTACTGTAATCATCGGGTCTATCTCGTCCTTAAAAAAACCTGCTCTATTAGGGCGAGTGTCTGTCTTCTTCTGTAGTCAAACCGCAAGATATCAAAATCTACCCGGATACAGCAATGCTGCTTTTTGATTGGCTGTTCAGTAGATATACTTTATTTGATTGGCTTGCGCGTGTCACGCAGCTTCTGAACTCTCGGAGAAACTCAGTTGATTTCCCCCAGTTCCATAGTTAAAGAAGTGCAACATGGTGGACATCACCATGTTCATTTAAATGCTTGAGAAATACAATGTGTGGTGTGTGAGCGTGTGAATGAGTGGGAATGCGTGTGTCATACGCTGAATGCGTGAGACTTGAGAGCCCTGTGCTCACGCATCATCGATGTACTCCCGTGCCATGCAAAACGGGCTTTGCAAATGTTGCACTGAACGCCTTCCTTTTCAGTCTTGGTAAAGTTTTCCCACACCATGGGTTGTGTCTATGTTTTTCTCAGCCGCTGCCTCGGCCATGGCTGTTTCTTTTCTGTGCGTCCTGCTGATGTTTACACGCCAGTGTCCATGGACATATATAAAGACCTGACTAATCGATTACAGAATTAGTTGGCAACGGATTTTTTTGTCACGACGAATCGACTTAATCGATTCGTTGTTGCAGCCTCAGTATGGCCTCACAGCTTAGAAAAATACTGTCTAATGCAGGCTACAGAAGACTGTTAACAAAAGGTTATGACGCCGGCGTAGGCGCGGCATAAGTCAGGTCCACCGCGATGACAAGGCTTGCCCAGGCACATTTTGGTATTTTGGTGAGCGGTGCAGCCTGGCGTAAGTATCCCCCCTCCCTAACTCAGCTCCTCCCAGCAGCGTAAGTCGTAGAGAGGGAGGAGATAAGGCATGGAGATGGTTTAACACAGCCGAGACCTGTTTTCACCAATCACATAAGCTCCTCTCCTCACCTTAAAATCCGCCACCGGAGAGGCATTTTACAATTTTCGTGAAGTAGTCAAAGAGATCAAGAGATGTGTGAAGACAGCAATGCCACAAGATGGCGACAGAAGGCAGCCCCTCAACAAGTGTCACTGCAGAGGGCATCCTCCACACTCTCTCATATAAGCACAGATGGATTTGGTGTGTGTAAGGTTGGACCCACTGGTAAGACAAACACCCTTTTCCACAAATAAAGACACTCACATAAATTTGCATATATTTAAACCTCACGTGACAAAGGTGGGTTATGCGAACAGATCACAACATAAACTCCAATATTGGCAGAGACATGATCAGGTCCGGCTGAACGAGAAATAAGAGGAAGAAAGAAATAGGAGGGAGACAAATTAAATATCTTGTTTACTTCATCATGTGTGTTTATTTACTAGATTTTTAATTCAATTTAATGCGGTTTCAGCTGTGTTGATTTGGTCAAGTTGAGTGTCCAAATGCACTCATTTGATCAGATATAGATCAGAATATATCGATATAGATCTAAATGTATGTGCTGACTCAGAATATTGGTTGTTGTTGATTATTTATTGCACTGAAATGTGCCTGACACTGTGGACACCTGTCTGTGGTAGATCGGTGACGTATGCGCACTATGCCACCGGTCTACCAAAATACCTCTAGACCAGCTGTGCTCAGCCTGCACAGAAAGCTGACCAGGTTTGAATCGGCTAGCTTTCAGCGCACTTTCTATGCCGCCGGCGGGCACGAAAATGTCACTGCGCCAGCTGATTCTGTCGACACCTCCCCCTGCCGCGCCACCACGCCCAGCTTGGTGGACCTCTGTGCACCTCAGTCTACAAAAATACCAAACTGGCTGTGCACCGGGCTCTGCCAGACAAAGATACTACTGCACGGGGTCTGCCACTGTGCCTCTGTGTCCGGCAGGCACGAAAATAGAGCCCATAATGTTTAGGACTTAAAACAGAGGATGTTCTAAAGTATTGCTTGTGTGTATGTGTGTTTTACAGCTTTGACCTCTCAGACAAAGATTACTTCTTTGATAGCCGAACAAGGAGCTCAATGGTAAGCACATAAAACTTCTGCTGCAGTGTAGCCACCAGCAAAGTAAATAATTTGTTTAAGAAAATTCAAGATATGGAGTTATGTATTTGCTGTTAAAAAGTCACACAAAACTTTCTTGACTAAGTTCTGGACTAACTCTTTTGTTTCCTTTCAGGTTTATGAAATACTGAAAAGGACAAAATGCAAGGCCAAGTACAGCATGGGTAAATCTGGATCTTGGATTTTTATTACTTATCTTATGACCTAAATGGCCACCTGAACAATGCTACATCAGCAATTAAAATTTTCTTTCTGCAGGAATCACTAGTCTGCTAGGTAGTGGAGTCTACACAGCAGCATACCCTCTCCATGATGTAAGTTACACCAAGAGATGATTATACCAGTTTAAGTTACTTTATGCCTTTTTCCATCATGTTTGTTTCTGTTTCTGTCTTTCATTTGAAGCTGTTTATTTCATCACATTTCGTAAAAAAGGAAAACGTTTTAAAAAAACTGCTGTAGCTTTATCTTCACTTCAAAACACTCAGTGTCAGATGCAAAAATGATGGTTTATTTATCTGTTATGTGCGTTAAGTAAGTCTTTGATGTCTCTCTTTTACCTTTTAGGGAGATATTAGTGAAGAGACTGCAGAGCTCAATGACAGAAAGGTGAGAAAGCTGTCTTCAGATCTGTTGAAGCCAGTGAAAAGGTGTGACTGCTTTGTTTCACATTACCCACAGCCCCGCATATGTACAACTTAAATTGCCCCTTGGGGACAAATAAAATGATTTCAATTGAATTGAGCTGAATTACACTGAGACACAGTAGTGCAAAAAATATATGTATATATCACCTGAATCTTAAATGTTGAAATCAAACAAATCAAAGGTCTGGTTTAGTAAGAATGGATTGTGGCAACTAGAAATCCTCACTTATAATGACCAGTTTTCTGTTGATCATCTTCCTCAGCTTTTATATGAAGAGTGGGCAAATTACAGTGTCTTCTACAAGTACCAGCCAATTGGACTTGTGCGGTAAGGACATATTTCCTGCAGTAAATCATGTGCTGCCCATCCTTTGTGTCTGTACGATCTCAGAATCTTCTTCTCATGATGGTTCAGCCTCTGACAGAGATGATCAATGTTTCATAGCTTCCCAGCAGTGGTGGTGCCAAAAATTGTGGGTTGACCTCTGCAATTGGAACTTTTTTCAGCACTCCAGTAAAGATTCCTGTTTATAGAGATTAAAAACAATCTTAGTGTACAACAGAGAAGAGCTAAAAAGTTCCAGAATCATATTTTCCTGTTAGACCAGAACATTTCTGATCCCCAAATTAATTTATCATCCACATTCAGATGCTCCAGTCCTACAAAGCTGACAAGCTACTCAGTAAAGTTGTGATTCTCATGTCCTGATATCAGTATGATTGTTCATCCTTGAATTAAGAGCGTGATACTTATAGCCTAAAGGGTAGCTGTCCTCTCTATTGTGCCCCCAAGCCAATACTCATGTCTTATACTATAAGTTTCATAGTCTACCAAAAGGCCCCCAAAAGCCACTTCAACACAAACAGTATCGCCACCTTCAAAAGATTCTGGTTCTGTTCATTTAGGCTCCAAGTATTAGGTAGTGCTGACTCAATGTGTGATAATGCTACTAATGTAATCAGAGGAAAAAGGCAGGGGGGATAAGAAAGTAGAAACAGGACAGGGAAGGCAGAGCCAGGGCAAGAAGGTCTTTAGAGCCAGGGTTTGGTTAGGCTGTACACTCTGCCTCTCCTTCTCATCCTCTTTTTCATAAGGTCAAAGAGGAGAAATAGAGAAAAAAAAACAGAGAAATTAGGGAAGTTTTGACTCTTGATTTGCCGGCTAACTGACATCACACCTCCTCATCCAAATCTGACTTCTATTTAATGCTTCATCTGATGTCTCATTAATCTCAGTAATGTTACTCTTGTTTGTGATGTTTAGGAAGTACTTTGGTGAGAAGATTGGTTTGTACTTTGCTTGGTTGGGTCTGTATACCCAGATGCTGATTCCTGCCTCTCTAGTGGGGGTCATCGTCTTTCTGTATGGATGTGCAACTGTTGATGACAACATACCAAGGTAAACACCAACAGAGAAATTCAACGCATATATGCCAACTAGTCTATTGAAACCTCACACTGCCATTTTTTTTGTCTGCGCGAAGCTGTTGCTCACAATCCTGCAGGACTCATTTGACTCTGATTGCAGGGGAATACCCATTTGATTAGAGATTTGACAGACAATCTGTCAGTTATCATAGTAAATCATACATTTGATCAAAATTTTCCTAGACTTGCGGGCTAGAAAAAAGAGTGCAGAACTTGTTACACCAAGACCAATCCTAAAAACAGGCACTTTTTGTACGCACAATATTTTTGCATTTGTCCCAGCCTGCTCTGTGGCTCCTTACTCAAGAAATCTGCTCAAGCAATTCCAAGTTTTTGTAGCCGTCAGTCATTTTGACCCCAAATATTTGAAAACTTGTTAAACTGGGTTTCAGTTTTTATTGAAATCAGGTGTTAGTAAACAAAACATATGTAGACAAAAGATTAGTACTGACTTTTCCGGTCCTAGTGACCCAAAAAGGTTAATTATGATAATCAACAACCGGAGTAATCCCTGCAAGAGCTGAGAGAGTCGAAGTAGACAAAGAAATGAATAAAGTAAAAGACAGAGGAGGGAATTTGATGAATGGGCTGAGAAACTACGACCTCCTCTCCTTCCTCTGCCTGCTTTTCATCATCCACAGGATATTATGACACAAGCTGCCGGCACAAATCTGCACACGACACAGACACACACAACACACTCAATAAAAGTGTTAATGTCAGACACTTGACCTGGACCTTGTCATATAGTAAAATAAAGCAGAGCAGCAGTCTGTCTGTAATATTCAGCAGTGCACAGTGTCAGGAAGACGACTGCTCAACAGATATTTTTAAGGAAATAAACGTTTAGAAATGAATAACAGCTGATCAAAATCTCACAAAGTCTTTAGAACAGTTAAGGACAAATGTAACATTAAATTTACACTCAATCAATTTGACACTGTTTACCCACAGACTCTATATTACCATGTTTTACTGTGTTTAATAAATTTGTGCTTAATCTTGGATGCAAGTGTCCAAGTGTGTCTTACCTTTGGATGGCTGCTTTGTTGGAATTTAAATTTTTGTGTGAACCACTTGAGTTGGGAAACCACTTGGAGACAAGCCTTGTACAGACACCATGACTGAATGGGAATAAAACTGTATTCCCTGTTTTTGTTGCCGGCTTAAAATCACAGTATGTCACTGCTTCTGCTTTGTTTTTTATTTTCATCTGGTGATGCATCTGTCTTTTTCTCCCAGCATGGAGATCTGCCACCCAAGAAACAACATCACCATGTGTCCCCAGTGTGACGGAGTGTGCAGCTACTGGAAACTCAGCACTGCTTGTGGAACGGCACGGGCCAGCCACTTATTTGACAACCCAGCCACTGTTTTTTTCTCAATATTCATGGCTCTCTGGGGTGAGTGAACAGACACACTTTCACACAATCGCTGTCTGGTTACACTTTGTGGTAATTTAGAAGTATTTTGTGGTGTCGAGTGGCCTTGAGGTCAAAACACAACATTTTAGAAAAACTGTACACTATTACATGATAAAGCTCTCTAATTCAAGCGGCACTGTTCAGTGTGGTTGTATTTTATTGTGGTTATCTGACTGTTTTCTATCTGGTAAAAAGCTGCCATGTTCATGGAGCACTGGAAGAGACGGCAGATGAGACTAAACCATGAATGGGACCTGACTGGGTTTGAAGATGAGGAGGTGAGTGAAAACAGCAGGTAACAATGTCGACGACTTGTAAAAATAAAATTCAGAGCAACACCTGAATAAAAAACTCTGGAGGCTGTGCTATGTATACACACATCTGCTGTTTTAAATCATACAGGCTGACACACCTTAAAGCCTTTAGGCTAATGTATCATGTTGAAAACTTTTTTTTCCCCCTTATCATCTACAATGAATAACAAATCAACCAGATGTTAATATGTCCTGTCATAAAAGATGTAGGTGATCTTTAGAGTTTCTGATCTGATAACAGCCTGTTTTCATAACTGCTGGACCATGAGACTGTTAAACTAAACCAGCTGTCTACTGTTCAGGTCAACAATGTTGTTGTGACCCTCTTTGGTTTATGTAGCTATATTTAGAAACTAGTCAAACTCCTCACCAGTACAAACCAAAAGTCAAACAAATGTCTTTATTTCCCTGTCCAACCCCTCCCTCTCTTTCTCTCTAAAATTTATTTTCACAGGAAGCGCTCAAGGTTTGGATGAATTCCTTATACCAAATAAACTCCTCTCTTTATTCTTTCACACATCTGTTTCATAAAAGTATCTCAACCTTTAAATACATATAACCCTTGCTTAGTGTTTCTGTGCAAAAGGAAACACTGTGATATTATTCTACTATGGACAAAACATTTTTTTTAAATGTGTTATTGATTTAGTAAAGCTGCCAGTCAGCACTGTACCACACCAACCATGTGTGAACACTGCAGTCTGAAGGGCTGAAGGGCTTTCTGTTGGAAAGCTCTTTAACCATCAAACTGTCTCAAAAACCATCAAATCTTGACTGGGGCTTTGTCAAAATAAAATGTGGGTAGGTCCAGAAAAAAGACATATAGGTTATAAAATGGTACAGAATTAGGGGGGAACTTAACATTTAGTGTGTGATTTAAAAAATATCTTAAAGGGGTGGTATCATACTTTTCCACATTTGCAACAAAAACTGCAATCTTACAAAGTTTGGTGTCCTTACTTCATTCAAGCAAAGTTTCAAATCACAAGGTAGACACATTTTGTCATAATCTGAGAAAGTAGATGTAAACTGCTTAAATCTCAGACAAATGCCTGAAAATGCAAGATCGTAGTTTATGTGCGAGATTTAGCTAAGTCTAACGTAAGAATTTTAGACTCTCAATACTGGTTCATGTGTGCTTTCAGCAAAGCGGAACCACCTGCCTCCATCAGTGTGTAACTATAGACATTTATATATATTTATATATATATATATATATATATATATATATATATATATATATATATATAAAACTATACTCTTTTTTTGTAAACATCTGATCTTGCTTCCAAACTTTTGGCATCAACCATAATCGAGGAGGCGGGGCCAGAACAACAAGCCCTGCCCTCGGCTGGCTCTCTGGGGGACTCTGGAGAGGTGGCCAATCAGAGGAAAGTGGGCTCGTGCAGGGGGGTCTTAAAGAGACAGTAGCCAAAAGGAAGCGTTTCAGATGGAGGCTAAATTAATATTTTAATTAACCACTGTGAGAAATTTGAGGCTTTTTATGATCTGAAAATCATGTAAAGCTATGAAAGTGGTATCAGAACGAAAATATAGTGTCTGAATAAAATTAATGATACCCCCCCTTTAATGTTGGAAGCTCATCTTTTCAAACACTAATGCACTTTTGGTATTAGGCATTATACCAGAGACCAAAGTGGTTCACATTTGCTTCATATCTCTTTCAAGCTTTGTCACTGCCTAATTCTTCTCACGCAGTCACACTTAAAGGAGTCTGGGGTAAATGCCAGAAGAAAACACCAATATTACATCAGGAGAATGATAAAATAACGATAAATAAAAGAAAAACATTTATGTTCAAGCTCTGTAATGCAGCATTTAAACTTATTAGCATTAAACTTCAGCTTGATTCAAATTCAAAAACTCAGGTAATCAAAGTTTGAGCCAAAACACCAATCCTGAAAAATGACTTATAAAAATTAATAAAAAATAAACGTGTACCCCAGGCTCCATGAACTGCAGCCACTTGCACCATAAGGCTTATTTCTCTCCTAAAACTTCTTTCCTTGGTGGGCAGGTCAATAACTACAGAGACGTGTGCTTAAATAATCGCAAAGACATAAAAACACCTAACTGCTCCCTTGTGTGTTGTCTGTCATTTGTGATCACCATCACAGGACCACCCGAGGGCTGAGTACGAATTCAGGGTCATGAAGAAGTCTCTGAGCAAAGACAGGAAATTAAAGCACAAGGTAACTGATTGTATTTTATGCTGTAATTTGCATCTTTCAAGCTGTGAGTACTCTTTATTTGTCACATTAATATCATTTTACTATGTGCTTCAAACCTTGCTTCAGTTTGCACAAGGAGCAGCTTTGGGCAAACAATTAAAAGCACATATTGTATGGTTATTTAGGGCATGTCAAGCCACCTTTAACGGGTAAAACAAAGTACTTTCTGGGGGTTAAGTAAGGTGTTAAGGAGATGTACGGGGACTCTTAATTTAATTAAAGTGTGCTGTAGAAATAATGTAAACCAAACTTATCAAAGTTTCAGCCATTGTTTTCTTTTTAAAGCCAAGTGCTCCTGACGTCATTTGCACTACAGCCTTTCTCCTTCTCTGGGCAGTTCATTTACCTCTGTCCTTCACCTGTGTCCCTTAGACAATGAGAGTATATCAACACAACAGGACAATTAACTACGTTTTTGTGTTGCAGTTTTTGTGAATGTTTGATTTATTTTTAGACGGAAAAGCTGACATGCCAAGATCGCCTCCCTGCCTACATGACTAACATTGTCATGATGCTCTTAATGGTAAGAAGATGATCTCCACAGATAGGTCACAGTATTGATTATTTGTGGAAATCTGATGGATTAACTATTTCTGATCCTTTTACTTTTATCCTGCAAACCTTTCCATCGAACAGATCGGCGTCACATTTGCCATCGTGTTTGGCGTAATCCTCTACCGAATCTCCACCAAAGCCGCGCTTCATCTGAGCGCCAATCCAACGACACGGAGTCACGTACAACTGACGGTTAAAACCACGGCAGCCATCATCAACCTGGTGGTTATCCTTATACTGGATGAGGTGTACGGAGCTGTAGCACGATGGCTTACTGTGTTAGGTAGGTTCTCATGAATGAAACCAGTCATGGCTCCATTCCTCTAGCTCACTTACAGGTCTCCTGAACCATAATTGAAGAGATTATTATGAAACAACACACCCTGTTCAATCTATTGACCTCTTCTTTATTTCTAGAGGTTCCTAAAACTGACAAAAGCTTTGAGGAAAGACTCATCTTCAAGACATTTATACTTAAGTTTTTCAATGCCTTCACCCCCATCATCTACATCGCTTTTTTCAGAGGAAGGTTGGTGACCTCTTTTAATTTCAAAGTCATTTTGAAGCTTTCATGGGCTGTGTGTTATAACCTCTGAGATGAATGAAACCGTTTTGAAGAGGAAAAATACATGTTTTAAGATGTGAAGGCATCTTACATCTGCTTCTCACCTTCTCAATTTTCTCCTTAGACTTGTGGGCAGACCGGGCAGCTACTTATATTTGTTGGAATCCTACAGAATGGAAGAGGTAAGCTTTACACATCATTTGTTGTTATTGACACTGGGGGCCCTAACCTAAACCCTGACAATCACATGTTATATGTTGTCCTGCTTTTTAGCTAGGCTACCAGCTACAGTCCCTCTGATCTGACGCTTTATGGCACTGTGTTTTTGTCTGACTGACATTAACCTCAACATTTTTGCTGTTAGTAATCTCATTACAGTAATCCTCACACTTTATTCAGAGTTAAGTCTGAACATGTGTGGCTTTCTGTTGCCATGCTTAACAGATACAGGAAATCACAGCAGCACTTCAGATCCTTTTCCCTGTAACTTTTCTGTTGGTGTTTTATTTTCACTCACTCAGTCCTGTAATACTGCTGAAGCCCAGCATGATACAGACAGTGATTTTCTTCAATATGGGCAAGTCTCTTTAGTTCAGCTCCTTGTGAGTTTGTATCTGTGCTTTAATCTGCTTCTGACGGCCATGAACCATGAATTTAAACTTTTGTGCTCTCCAGACAAATTGGGAATCATAAAAAAATCATTTTTTTAACCAATGTCATTGCAAACTATCAATTTTACCACATTTTCACCAATGTACCACAGCATATTTCAAGCCTCAATTTGGGCAGTAATACACTATGTTGTCATTTCTCAGCCAGAAACAACTGTGCTAGATTTGAAGCAAGGGTTGACTAATGTAGATTTTTAATTGCTGTCAACATTAAACACTTATGGCACATTCAAATTCATCGCATTACTCAACCCCTGGATTTTTTGACAGCCCCAAATAGGCTCTGAAGTGTCTTTTCTTTTTTTACACATCTTTATCTGCTTCATTTGACAACAGCAGACAATGTTATTTGTTGAGTCTGGTCCTTCCCAAGGTTTCCGCCTGTTAAAAGTTTTTCCTTGCCACTGTCACTGGTATAAGATGAGATGGGTCAAATCTGTCCCATTTTAAGGTTGGGTCTTGATAATTCATTAAACAATGAGCGTGGTCTAGACCTGCTCTTTTCCTTGGAAAGTGTCTTGGGATCAGCAGGACGCACAACGACTGTTGCAATTTGGCGCTTTATAAATAAAATTTGAACGATTTGATTAATGTTGGGTCATGCTTTAAATGACTGAAGTAAATTAAAGCTTGACAGTTGTAGCAATTAAAAACATGAAAACTAAAGAACTAAGGTATGCAAGCTAGATGTAACCTGACTTTAGCACTAATTCTGTGTTGTTATTGTTTTTTTTTTGTAACTGCTTGAAGATAATACTCACCAAATAGACCAAGCTTGCAAATGAGAGAAAGAGAAGAAGAGAGGGAGCCCTGGACTAGTGCTAGAGCCTTTTTTATTCCCCCAGGGAAAAGGTGTAACAGCGGGTGCTCAGGTGTTGGTGTAGTTAATTATGTCCATGTGTCATTCAGGATGATCTTGTTTCCCTATAGTGTCAGGGGAGATGTGTGTGCAGTTGTAAACTGTCCCGAGGTGATCTAAAATGATCCAAAGGTCAGTATGGATAGTAGAGCACATTTCCCTCGTATGCCTTCTTTGTGAGGCCTCCAAGCTCTGTGGCTTCGACAGGTACAGAGACTATCGATTAACTGTGTCTATATGTGGAAGTAGCAGCTGCATGTATCCACCTTTTCCTCTCTTGTTGACTGGTTCAAATCTTGTCTCCAGTGGTTTTTGATGTCACATCCACAGATGATCTGATGCTCACATCAACAGAAAGACGTCCAACAGTTACCTGATCCAGTCATTTGCAAATGTAGAGCTTGCCAGTATACCAGCCAGACTAGCCCGGAGAGTCGGAATTAATAAGCTCAAGTTATACACATAAGAGTCTGCTGTAGTAAGTGTCAGATTATTGACATAAACACCCAGGATCCTTTCATGAATCAAATATCCTTCTCGTGTAGACCTCAGTACCTCTGGTATGTCTGCAGTGGGTTGGTGCAGATTGTTTGTTGATTAAGAAATACAGAGGAAAGACACGGAGTCCTACAAAGACCCTCAGACCTATGCCAGTTTCTGTTTGTTTTCAGACTAAATGTCTGCTGTTCAGTAGGCCTACTCTTCTAAGAAAGCCGAGGGTTCAAATCTGCTCACATTACTGAGGCTGGTTTCCTCTGACGTCAGTGTGCCATTATAAAAGTTTTCAGGCAGGGGTTCAAGCAGCTAGCGAGTTAGCCTAACAATCTTAGCCCGGATCACATCCAAACTCCTGATAATGTGTCTGGTTACCACCGATTTTACAGACCAATGTGGTTCTGTAACAAGTACACTTGAAGCCCTGATATTATTGAACAGATCTTTTTATATAACTGACCTGATATATGAAACTAGTAAGCTATTAAACTAATGGAAAAGTTAACACATCACCAAATACTGTCTTTCATTAGCTGTTAACCTGTTACATTCTGCTAATAAAAGGTGCCTGGTGCTCCCACCACGACAGGTCCGTTAGTCACCAACAAGACTTTCCCCCTCTGTAGTCCCTCTGCTGGTGGAATAAAGTACTAAAATCTATCAGATCAGCAGAATCACTCAAGCTAAAAACGTCACCTATGAGCTCAGCCTGCCTTTGACCCAGAATTACAGAACAAATTATCTCAACGATCCCCTTCATCTCTGTATATCTTCTGTTTCCTGGTTGGAGACCATTAGGTCTGGTAAATTTTTCTATACATGACAAAAGGCAAAAAAAAAAAGAGGTGAAAGCAGCACAGAAACACTGTAAGTGGACACTAACATTTGACCTCCTCTCCTCACAGTGTGCTCATGGTGGCTGTCTGATGGAGCTGTGTATCCAGCTGAGTATCACCATGTTGGGAAAACAGCTCATCCAGAACAATCTTTTTGAGATTGGAATACCGTGAGTATAAATTGTTTATATCATATTCAAGATAAATCACGGTTTCAAGAACTGCAGACAGACCCAGACTGATTATTATGAAGCTAAATAAAAATCCATTAAATTAGTTACTCAACTCTCTCAGTTTCTTTTTACTGAGTTGTGATATTTAGAGTGGAATTACAAACAAAAGGAAACCAAGTACAGTTCAGTTTTGAGTCTTCACATTCTTTGTGTGTCTTGAACATTTTTCAGCAAGCTCAAGAAGCTGATTCGCTACATTCAGTCAAAGCAAGGGGCTTTTCAGGAAGAGGAGAGACAGAAGAAGATGCAGAGATACGAAATGGACCACTTTCTTGAGCCATTTGCTGGGTTAACACCTGAATATATGGAAATGAGTCAGTACCACACAGTAAATACCTCAACTTACAGACTGCTTTATTCCTCCACCTCCACATTCTGCATCCTACAGAAAGGCTTTTCATGAACAAACATTGTTGAAATGGTCTGTGTTTGATTTTATATCAGCTTTGGTAAGGGCCACGGCCTCACAACTGTGCGTGGTTGTGCTCATATGAAACGCAGAAACACTTCTAATTTATCAACTCAATTGTGGCATGAGGTATATTCATGCTCACTGCCTGCATTGTTTATTTTAAATCAAAGTAAATATGATTGAAATTCAATGACGATCTTTATAAAGATATTACTGGGATCGATCGGAGTGATAACTTTCTTTGGTCTTCTTCTGTGTCTAGTCATCCAGTTTGGTTTTGTCACATTGTTTGTGGCATCCTTCCCCCTGGCTCCACTCTTTGCTCTCCTTAACAACATCATTGAAATACGACTTGATGCCAAGAAGTTTGTGACTGAGTTAAGACGACCGGTGGCAGCAAGAGCCAGAGACATTGGTGGGTTGAGTTTTGGCAATGTAGCTCTTGCATGAAAGCTCCTGAGAGTCAAAGAGAAAGATCTAACCGACCAAAATCTGTGTTTTTGTTCAATCCAGCTGCTGACGTGTGGTTTTGTCTACAGGTATATGGTACAACATTCTCAGAGGGGTAGCAAAAGTGGCTGTCATCATTAATGTGAGTCAGATATCCGTTTATTATTTTATACCGATGCATGTACTGTTCAGTCTGTTGGTTTTCTGCTGCTCTGCTTTTGGCACTGTCCTCCATCACTCTGACTTGAAACAGTGCAGTAATGTGATTTGATGGTGATCAAGGTAAGAGACAAGTGAAAAGTAGGCAAATTTTCTGGTCAGTTTAGAACTGGATTATCTGGGCCCTAACCCTGCAGGATAGTAAGAACCCACTGAGCAATAGACAGCTATTAGACGTCTGTTTTTTTTTAGACCTAATTTCAACTGTCTAGATTCTGTACATTTTAGACGGCATATAGACGTTGCACTTTAACCCATTGTCCAATAACTGTTTATTTCAAAAAGCAACTGTGAGTTGCATAACTGATCTCCAAGTACTTAACCAAAATAATTGTGATAGCCATTGAGCAATATACAGTGTAGTATAGATATAGCCCAGATTTAGATTTAGTCTAAACTTGGTCTAAATTTAGACATCTAAAAAACTTTCATTTTTAGACCCGTGATAGCCTGATTTTAGACCAGTCGTCTGGGCTACACTTAGACGTCTATTAGACCTCTTTTAGACCTAAAAATGCTCAGTGGGAAGGAACAAACACACCGTAACACCGAGTTAGACACCCCCTCCAGAGATGAATGTTGCCGACCGCTTGCTTCTCTAGTTATTTCAACTTTTGTAACAACCACACAGTAGCTATACACAGTGGTCTAAGGAGCCACACACGAAACTCAACCAAAAAGCCACTCTATAGCCACAAATAATGCTCAGAACAGCACCTAACTTCATCAACAGTACATATGGGGTCCCAGCCACAGCACAAGCCATCAAACATCTTTTTATCTTTGCCTGATTTCTTGAGCAAAGAGACTAAACACAACTCACCTACTCTCTTCCAGCAGCCGCTTGTGTGTAGACCTCGACCAGTCCATCATTGACTGAGGTGGGGGGGCGCAGCTCAAGGAAGAACATTTATGATTGTTGATCACAAGAACTACCGTGTCTGCAGTGCAAAATGATTAATATGAGGATTATTACTTCAAGGCAATGATAAAGAAATGATCATAAATGTTCCTCCTTGAGCTGTGTCACCCTGCTGCAGTTGGTGATGGACTGGCCTGAGGTCTCGCTACAAACAAGCGGCTGCTGGAAGAGAGTAGGTGAGTTGTGTTTAGTCTCTTTGCTAAGGAAATTAGGCAAAGTTAAAAAGATGTTTGGTGGCTAGCACTATGGCTGGGACCCTTTATATACTGTTGATGAAGTTAAGTGCTGTTCTGAGCATTATTTGTGGCTATAGAGTGGTGTTTTGGTTGAAGTTTGTGCATGGATCCATAGACTGCTGTGTATTGCTATCGTGTGGTCATTACTAAAGCTGGTTTATCTAGAGAAGCATGTGGTCAGCAACATTCATCTCTTGAGGGGGTGTCTAACTAAGTGTTACAATGTATTTGACCCTCAATTTATTTTATGCCAGAATATCCATTTAAGGCACTACAACACAAGTTACATCCACTTCTTTTTCGGCCTGTCAGGAAAGAGACAAATGTGAGAAGAAGGGCGGAAAGTGTCCCTCAGCACTGATCAAAGCCCCTTACATGAAGAAACAGTTTTTGTTTTAGCAGAGAGATGTCCCACCTGTGCCTCTTACATTCAGCCTGAGCACTACACCACTGCATTGTTTCACTTCAACTTGTATGTTGTTACATTTCACTCTATTCACACATGCAACATGACGTCTCTCTTAACATTCGTCTAACCACCATTTTTGTTCCTAATCTCTGAACCTTCACCCCTCCCACCAACTTCCTCACCATACTCTCCAGGCATTTGTCATCTCCTTCACCTCAGACTTTATCCCTCGGATGGTCTACCAGTACATGTACAGCCCTGATGGCTCCATGCATGGATTTGTCAACCATACGCTGTCCTATTTTAATGTCAGCCACTTCCAGGAAGGCAAAGAACCCTCGGAACCAATGCACCTTGGGTATCCTGTAGAGATCTGCAGGTGGGAAATCGACACCATTTTCATGATAAAATCATGTTCATTGCTCTAAAAATCAAAGTTGTCAAATCAAGTTGAGAGTAACATGAAACACATGAGGGAGAAATTGGAGTGGGGAAAAGGTTGCAAAGACAGGACAGTATTACAGGGCCATTGGCTAGTAACTTCTCAAAAAATTATCTGTAGGGGTTTTTATGTACTTAGCCCACTTAGTCCAAAGTTTAATGAACATGTTGTTCTGAATACATAGATTCTTTACACTTCATAAATATCATTCACTGTATCAATCCACTCATGTATTGTGGAGGCTCTGGGAACAACCAAGTTAAATCATTCAACACTGAATATCATGAGCACTTTACAGTTTGCACCCTGAAGTACCAGCTCTGTATTTGACTTTAAAAAGTTGTTCACTTTCAGACCTGTAGGTCTTTTTCAGGCCTGTAGGGTCACTGCACTTGGAAATGGATCAAATGTTATGATCCGGAGAGGCTCATTTAAGATAATTTCACTCATGTGAGGAACAAAGTTATGAAGTTTGTATCTGTTGAAACACGGTCTGAGCCTCAGTAGACATCAGCTTTCAGCATATTTTGTGACCACACCTATGATCAAGATGCATCTCAATTTACTATATCAACAAACAAGGACAGAAAAACTAACCATGTTAGATTAACTGAGAGAAGAGGTTAGGGGCAGCTAAAGTTTTTTTGTGAGCGCTAAGTCAGAAGACCTGGTCTGAGTAGACTATGGAAGCTGACATATTTCCTCCACAAACCCTTTCCTTACAACTGTGTGGGATCTTTTTGTAATGTTCAAACCATAGAAGTCCATGTGTTCCTACAGATACAAGGATTACAGAGAACCCCCATGGTCAGTCACCCCATATGAAATCTCCAAGGAATTCTGGGCTGTGCTGGCTGTCCGACTGGCCTTTGTCATTGTTTTCCAGGTAAAGTGTAACATTATTTCAAATGCTAGGTTGGAAACTAATATTTTTCCTCAGAGGTCTGACCCCTGCCTGCTGACAGATGGAGTCCATCAAATCTAGTTTTAAACAGAACATCCAGAAATTATTCTATCCTTAGTTCATCCAGCCTTTGCACAGTTAATCTATGCTAATATGATAGATTCAGAGAAATGGGGTAAACTTCTAACAACTACTTTAAGAAAACAACTTTTCCTTTAATTTATCTTCTCTAGAACGTTGTGATGCTGATGAGCGACATTGTGGACTGGCTTATCCCAGACATCCCTAAAGACATCAGCCTTCGGATCCACAAGGAGAAGATATTATTGGTGGACCTCTTTATGAAAGAGGAGCAGGGCAAGGTTCGGAACTTGGAGAGCAGGGCCTCAATAAGGGTGAAAGAGAACTGCAGCAGGAGCAACAACAACAATAACAGCACGTCGGCCCACCAGCGCTCTGGACTTCACAACAACAGCACTAAAAGCCTCTAATGCTATTAACCAAGATTTCTTAGTTCAGTCTTAGTTTGCAAGTTTTTCTGCAGCCTGTGATCAGGAGAACTTAGACTCTGTGTTTTCATTCTTGTTCAAATCATTCCAACCAGTGGGAGAGCAGCTGTCTGTTAGGATGTGAAGAAAATCACGGTGAATGTGTGAGACAATGTGTATGTGGCAAGATGTGTAACTTTATCTCAATCTGCATACTCAGATGTACAAATGTGCACAGGAATCTTTAAGCGTACACAAATGTGTAAATGGGCACACATATTTCAGAATGTACAAAAGACTAATGCATGCTAACTCTCTTTATATGCATACCATTTCTACATTGTATAAGAATCTGAAGATGTATACTCAAAAAAAAGAAAAAAGAAAATCAGTAAAGGTTGCTTTGTAGTAGTGAGTAAAGAGTGCAAAGGACATATTCACTCAGTCTGTTACAAACTACAGCAGGGGTTTCTGCTTGCACAGAAAGCATTAAATACGTACAAAAGTAAAAAAAAAAGATTCTTGTTATGTAAACATCCTTTTTTTGGAAGGCAGTTTTGAGACTGGAAGTTTGTATTTCATCTTGTATGAAGCAACCAATGTTGAGGTTGAGTCATGAGATACACCCGGTTGTTGTATTACTGCTTTTTTTATGTTGTGTTTTGTTGGAAAAGCTCACACTAAAAAATATGCATCTTTAAAAATGTCCTCCTCCCTCTCTCTCTCTGTCTCAGTCACTCCCTTTTTAAGACAGATATTGCGGTATAGCAGTACTAAAAAGGACACAGGTTAGAGCTTTTAGAGTTAATCATGATGCACCCAGAACACTGGATGAAAGTTCAAGCAAAGAAAAAGTTTCCAAAAGAAAATGATGACCTTTTTATTAATTCTACTCTTTCTTTTTACAAATTTAGTCAGAAACCTTGAAAAATAAATAATCCTAAATTTGAGTTTAAAATCAGAATTTAATTACAGAACTGACATATGGCCCAGGCTGGCTTCTGGATTAAATGATTGCAACTGATCTCATCAACAGCTGCAGTCAGCCGCTGGTTGACAAAAGTTCTTAGCGTTTGAATGGCGGACATTATATACAATTAATTATCCGACAGGGCTTTAGAAAATTGTGTTTGGATGATTATCTTTTTTATTCATGACCAACAGTCTTCTTCCTTTTAAGGCGTTTGCCAAACAGCCTGTAGGCCCATTACCGCCACCTTCTGGACTGGAGGGTGGATCGTCGAGACTATCCCATTGAATGCTGCTCCTATTTCCTCCTCCAGACAAACAAATAACAAAATTAATAATACCCTCACAGTCAGATTAGTCCCTCTCAAGTGATGAAAGTATTTGAAAACACTCACTTCTTGAATCTATTTGTTTGTTCTTGCACAAATTATTTCTCCAACTTTCATTCAAACACTGTAAAATCAACTTGTATAGCTTTATATTAAAGGCTGAAAAGATGACGTAACATTTACTAAAATCATACAATGACATGAAGATAAAGACTTTGATAAAACAAAATAAAGAAAAGGTATATAAAAGCAGAGAGGATAGGATAGACATTGATAGTAGTTTCATAAAATCCATAATATAGTTGGTAAAATGAGGAATTCAAATGTCAAGACTTAGATTTGGATAGGCAAAATTGAACAGTTTATTCTGTGAAATAGCATCTGACAGGACAGTGTAAAATCTGCAAACAATAGGCTGTTCAGCATGTTATTAGTTTATGTCCAAAGTAAAAGGATGAAGGAATAAAACTATTAATAGTTTGGAGGTAATTAAGCTATAAAAATTATTCATACAAGGGTCACTCAATAAAAAAGTACATTTATAACTTTGCCTAAGCAGCTTCTCATCTCTGTATTCCTTTCTTCTCTTCAAGTTGCAGCAATATGCTTAACCAGCAGGGGGTGGTGTTTACTGTCAGATGAGCTGAACATAAAGTTTACTTACAGCAGCCGAGACTGACAACTTTCCGTGATGCCCCAGCATGAGACTTATTGTTGTCTTGAGAGAATGTATTTATTAGGAGAATGTGATGCTTTAGATAGATTAGATAGAGAGGTTATTTGAGAGAGATTACACTTTCTAATAAGGACCAGGTGGCTCTCTGATGTACAGAATTAAAACTTTGACAAAAAACCCCAAACACTAGACACTGGACACAATCATGAATTATCCATGTCTACTTTGGAGAGCCTCCTGTTATGGCCACAGATGCCCAGGTCCTTTTTGTAACATATTCCAGTTTTGCAGGGGGGTCAGGTTGGGTTGGGTATAAGCCCTATCTTATAAAGCCTACAGTATATCTGATTGCTGCCTACCACAATCCTGCACTATTCTCCACACCCTCCTATCCTCAGAATGAATGAAAGAGTTTTCCAGAGGGAAATTCACATGCAGTGACACAATTTCAGCTCAGCTCCTTTCATCTGTAGGTTCAAGTTATTTATGCTGTGTAAAACACTTTTGAATACTTAAAAGAGTCCCAGTCCTTACTTTGTAGTGGTACTGCATGACCACCTGGAAAAGTTGTGTTTTAATTATGCATGAAAAACCTTGGAGCAAAAGAACCACTCTGTTTTATGGCTTAAATATCTAAAACTATATAACATGCATAACAAATAAAAGTCTCACGACCAAGGATTTGAATACAAAATCAGTGAATTTCAACATCAGTGATTAACTCTTAAACACTGACCTGCTGACTCTACTCACTAGGTTTTTTGTTTGTTTGTTTGTATGATTCAGTAAAACATGATCTGGCATCAACATGAGGTCTTTTAGATCTTTGAGAAAAAATCACCCTCTCAATTCTGGTCTGGGTTCAGATCTCTTCCTCCATGAAAAGCTTGTATGTCAAGTTTTAGCCAAAAAGGCCTCAACCATCCACAATCCAGATGTCTTCAAGAGCTGTGAGTTCAAATCATTTCAGGTACTATTTTTAAAAAAAATAATAGTATATACTTGATGCAGAGCTTCTAGCATCATGGTTTGGTGTGCCCTCTCCAGGAGACCCCCGCTGGTGAAGGGCTCAATGCCTATGTTGCTGTTGTCTCATGGTTTTAAAGAGGGAATGCCATTTTGCTGTCTAAGGGTCCAAGTTGAAAGCCAATGGTTGTGTGTGCAGTGATGATTCTGGGGCATCACCAACATTACTGAGCTGCGCTGGAATCCTTTCCGCTGGTCTGATGAAGGCTTTTAATCGCCCGACATTAGCTATTGTTTTAATTGTGTTATTTTGTAGACTCTTAACCAGTGTTTTTCTGGAGAGAAATTGGTCCCCAAACTTTGAACTTGTCCTCAGTTCTCTTGCTTATTGATGTTGTATTTTACTTAACATTATATTTGGAACACATGAAGCCATGAAATCTGTTTTTATACATATTCTACAAAGTTATAATTCATTCATTGCAGTTTAGGGTCCAATCAGTACACCTATTACCCCAACAGAAAGGTTCCAAAAAGTGGGATGAAACATAGATCATTCTAAGACCCTTACCAACTTTTGACTATAGAAATGCAGAAAACTCTGAACCAGACCAGACTGCTTGGTGGAAATGAAACTATAATTAACAAGTTTTCTTCTGGAGCGAAAAGCTTTCTTTGGCTACTTCTCCTTTAAACAATAAAAAGTGACTTGGCAAAGGCTTGTGAAGAGTGTGCTGTGGTCCTGCAGCCTCTCTAATGGCTGACCAGCCAACAGAAGCAGTAAATTTCACTAATGACTTTCCAATGGTCTTTAATTCTCCATTTAGGAGGAGAGGAAATGTCAGGGCCGATGGAAAGGTTAATGTGACTTTCACCCACTAATAAACATGCCTTGATCAGAGAACAACGCAATTAAAAGCTTTCTTTTTATTCACTGGACAAACGCTCACTTACACACACGCACGCACACGCATCCATATACGCAGATATTAGTGTGATTTGCCAATTAGATTTTTCAATTTTGAACTAAATTGAATAAGTTAATGAAATGGTCTTTTGGAAACGGACTGATTTTCAATGCAAGAGAGGGTAATGAATTTACAGAGAGGAAGTCACTCATATAGGTCTGACAATGTAACGTTTTTAATAAGAACAACAGATTAAAGAGCTGATTGGCTTGAAAATGAAGAGTATTAAAAACAGAGCATCTGATGAAGATGCTGAATACTTCACTACTGTTCAGCTTTTTTTCTGGAAGGCCTGAATAAACTATTTTTTGATTCCTTTGAAATAAATAAGTCATAGTAATGTGTAGAAGTTTTATCATTTTCATTTTATTTTCTCTTTTTGATTTGTAGCCGACTCCTGGTCAATCAACTTTTGATTTTTTTAAATGGGGTTACATATTTTGCATGTTTCTAAACAAATTCTTAGATACTGTTTTAAATATACAGTTGGTCCATGAATTAAAAATAATAAACCAACAGTTTTATTCATTTTAATCCATACTGAAGTTGTCCAGTTTCTAAGATTAAAGCTCTGACACTTTAAGATTCAGCTCGACCAGAAGCATCACTGCTTGTCCTTTTAGGCTCTGATTTTCAACAACTATAAGGCCTTTTCATGCACACCCATGTACAATGACTGTTCCTGTCAAAATGCTTGAAGTGGTGCCAACATTCGTGCTCTTTGCTTTCAAAGATTTTACAGTAAAGGCAAAAGTACAGCAAGTTGGATATTTAAAAGAACAATCAGGAACTGAGAAAAGATACAGATGGGAACAGCTCCAAGAATGATGGTAAAAGTATGTGAAGTATGTAGAGAAACTTAATCAAACACAGCTGATTATAGATTATCCCTGGTTCAATTGATTTACTCATTTTGATAATTCATAGAGGCTTATAAAAACCTATATTATATTGTAATATTATTTACATCCCTTATATTGATGCAGGAGGACGCCCTTTAAAAAATGTTGTACTGTCTAATCACATCAAGAAAAACACATGCCATGGTATAACTGATCATTGACAACCAGGGTCATTAGAAACCAAGTTTGACAGTAATTTATGTCGATGATTTTATCCTATGATTATACCCTGTTTGCATCTTTGCATTAAGTTTGAATTTAATCATAATTTGTTTCAAAAAACTGCTCTGCTTTTAACAGAATAAATTCCCTAGGTTTATCATTTTTACTTTATTTCCTCTTTTACTCAGATTTCATCTCTAATAACTGATGGCACGACTTATCTTCATATGAGAATAAAAGTCACAGACTTGATCTTGCACTTCATGTCTAATGCTAAAGCCATGGAACTCACTGTTATCTGTTGTAATATGTTCTTGTTTTTTATTTATTTTTATCAACCTTATTTTATGAGTAAAATGTTGTTATAACTTCAGTTTTCAGTGGCCTTGTCCGTTAGTTGATTTAACTTTTTTGGCACTTTGTAACTTTTTTCAAAAATTGCAATAAAATGCCTAAATTAATGTAATAATAATAATAAGAGTCCTCTTGTGTAAGAGATGACACTTTTCAGAGACTTAGATATTTTAACAGGAGAGGATCAAGAATAACATATGTGTAATTTTGGCCCTTGCTAAGGGACCTGTTGGTTGCATTTTGTCTTTTGTCACCAGGCAGTTAATGAAATGATCTTGTAAATAATGTTCCTCACCCAGCTGCAATGTTCTGCTGAAGTCTCGATCCAGAAAGTACAGAAGGAAAGAGAGTGTCGTCCCTGCTGACTACAGACAGAGG